ACCTAACTTATTGAACCCTATAGCTTGGCTTACCTTAAACATGCTCAGAACACTTACATTAGTCTATTGTTGGGCAAAACAATCTAACAAAAGCCTGTTTATTTTTATTTTTTGCATTATAATTCTTATTACACATATATACCACAATTTTTCATATCTCTGTTTGTATATAAAGTATGTTGACACCCAATTCATGTCTTCATAAATGTACTTTGGATAATGATGTCCATCACATTCCACCATTTTTGCTAATCCTCTGCCCCCTCCCTTTCCTTCCCACCCCTATTCCCTATCTAGAATTCATCTATTTCTTCCATGCTCCCGCCTCCCTACCCCACTATGAGTCAGCCTCCTTATCTCAGAGAAAACATTTGGCATTTGGATTTTTGGGATTGGCTAACTTCACTTAGCATTATCTTCTCCAACACCATCCATTTACCTGCAAATGCCATGATTTTATTCTCTTTTAATGCTGAGTAAAATTCCATTGTGTATATAAGCCGCATTTTTTTAATCCATTTATCTACTGAAGGGCATCTAGGTTGGCTCCACAGTTTAGCTATTGTGAATTGTACTGCTATAAACATTGATGTGGCTGTGTCCCTGTAGTATGCTCTTTTTAAGTCCTTTGGGTATAGACTGAGAAGAGGGATAGCTGGGTCAACTGGTGGTTCCATTTCCAGATTTCCAAGGAATTTCCATACTGCTTCCCGTGGAAGATGGAAAGATCTACCTTGCTTTTTTTTTTTTTTCTACCTTGCTTTTGGATAGGCAGAATTAATATTATCAAAATGACCATACTACCAAAAGCACTATACAGATTTAATGTAATTTCGATCAAAATCCAATGGCATTCCTCATAGAAATAGAAAAAGTAATAATGAAATTCATCTGGAAAAATAAGAGACCCAGAATAGCTAAAACAATCCTTCGCAGGAAGAGTGAAGCAGGTGGCATCACTATACCAGACCTTAAACTATATTACAGAGCAATAGTAACAAAAACAGCATGCTATTGGCACCAAAACAGACTGGTAGACCAATGGTACAGAATAGAGGACATAGAGACTAACCCACAAAATTACAATTTTTTTTTAAAGAGAGAGAGAGATGAGAGAGAGAGAGAGAGAGAGAGAGAGAGAGAATTTTTAAATATTTATTTTGTAGTTTTCAGCGGACACAACATCTTTGTTTGTATGTGGTGCTGAGGATCGAACCCGGGCCGCACGCATGCCAGGCGAGCGCGCTACCGCCTGAGCCATATCCCCAGCCCACAATTATCTTATAGTAGACAAAGGCACCAAAAATATGCATTGGAGAAAAGATAGCCTCTTCAACAAATGGTGCTGGGAAAACTGGAAATCCATCTGTAACAAAATGAAATTAAACTCCTATCTCTCACCATACATAAAACTTAACTCAAAATGGATCAAAGACCTAGGAATTAAACCAGAGACTCTGTGTCTAATAGAAGAAAAAGTAGGCTTTAATTTTCATCATGTGGGATTAGGCCCCAACATCCTTAATAAGACTCCTATAGTGTAAGAATTAAAACCACGAATCAATAAATGGGATGGAATCAAACTACAAAGTTTCTACTCAGCAAAAGAAACAATCTGAGAGGTGACAGAGAGCCTACATCCCGAGGGGCAAATTTTTACCCCTCACACATCAGATAGAGCCTAAACTCTAGAATAAATAAATAACTCAAAAAGCTAAGCACTAAAAAAAGCAAATAACCCAATCAATAAATGGGCCAAGGACCTGAACAGACACTTCTCAGAAGAGGATATACAATCAATCAACAAATATATGAAAAAATGTTCATCATCTCTAGCAATTAGAGAAGTGCAAATCAAAACCAGTTTACATTAATTATTGACCATCTCATGCAATTTATGGAATACTGTGCTGAAAATACAAGTCTAAAAATTAGTAAAATAAATTTACAAGCTAGAATTTAATATTCATCTATTGTAAAGAGTTTTAATGGACTCCACACCTTAATTTCTTTATAACGAAAAAGGACTTCTAAATTTTTAAAAAATACAATAAAATGTTATCTATGGTTGAAAAAATGAATTAAAAAATCTTAGGGGCTGGGGATGTGGCTCAAGAGGTGGCATGCTCACCTGGCACGCATGGGGCGCTAGGTTTGATCCTCAGCACCACATAAAAATAAAATAAAGATGTTGTGTCTACCAAAAACTAAAAAAAATAAAGATATAAATATTAAAAATTCTCTCTCTCTCTAAAAAAAAATCCTAGTATTTTTTTTTTTTTGAGACTATTGTGAATGGGATAGTTTTCATAATTTCTCTTTCAGTGGATTCATCACTGACGTATAAAAATGCATTTGACTTATAGGTGTTGATTTTATATCCTGATACTTTGCTGAATTCATTTATTAGCTCTAGGAGTTTTCTGGTGAAATTTTTTTGGATTTCTAAATTTAGAATCATGTTGTCAGCAAATAGTGATAATTTGAGTTCTTCTTTTCCTATTTGTATTCCTTTAATTTCTTTTGTCTGTTTATTCTGGCTAGAGTTTCCAGGACTATGTTGAATAGAAATTGTGAAAGAGGGCATCCCTGTCTTATTCCAGTTTTTAGAGGGAATGCTTTCAATTTTTTCCATTTAAAATGATGCTCGGCTTGGTATGTTCCTACTCTCCCTGTTTTTTCTAGTGTTTTGAACATGAAGAGGTGCTGTATTTTGTCAAACACTTTTTTTCTGCATTTATTGAGATGATCATATGATTCTTGTCTTTAAATCTATTGATGTGATGAATTATGTTTATTGAATTTTTTTATATTGAACCACCCTTGCATCCCTGGGATGAACCCCATTTGATCCTGGTGCATTATCTTTTAATATGTTTTAATATGTGATTTTCCAGTATTTTATTGGGAATTTTCACATCTATGTTTATCAGGGATATTGGTCTGAAGTTTTCTTTCTTTGATGTGTCTTTGTCTGGTTTGGGTATCAGGGTGATACTAGCCTTATAGAATGAGTGTGGAAGGGTTCCCTCCTTATCTATTTCATGGAATAATTTGAGGAGTACTGGTGTTAATTCTTCTTTAAATGTCTTGTAGAACTTGGCTGATAATCTGTCTGGTCCTTGGCTTTTCTTGGTTGGTAAGCTTTTGATAGTATCTTCTATTTTATTGCTTGAAATTGATCTATTTAAATTGTGTATTCCCTCTTGATTAAGTTTGGGTAGTTCATATGTCTCTAGAAAAGTGTTGATGTCTTTGAGATTGTCTGCTTTATTGGAGTATAAATTTTCAATAGTTTCTAATTATTTTCTGCATTTCAGTAGTGTTCATCATTTGGAAAAATAAGAGACCCAGATTAGCCAAAGCATTCATTAGCAAATAGGAGGCATCACAATATATCAGACCTTAAAGTATACTACAGAGCAATAATAGCAAAAATGGCATAGTAATTGGCACCAGAATATACATGTAGACCAATGGCACAGAATAGAAGACACAGACACAAACCCACATAAATACTGTTATCTGATACTAGACAAAGGCACCAAAAAAAGATACATTAGAGAAAGAATAGCCCATTCAACAAATGGAGCTGGGAAAACTGGAAATCCATATGTAGAAAAATGAAATTAAACCTTTATCTCTCACCCTGCATTAAAATGAACTCAAAGTGGATCAAAGACTTAGGCACTAGAACAGAGTCCCTGTGCCCAATAAAGGGAAAAGTAGGACCAAATCTCCACCATGATGGCTTAGGAACTGACTTCCCTAACCAGACTCTTAAAGGGCAAGAGTAAAAGCAAGACTCAATAAATGGGATGGATTCAAACTAAAAAGCTTCTTCTCAGCAAAAGAAACAATCAATAACATGAAGAGAGAGCCTAAAGAATGGAAGAAAATCTACCACAAGCACATCAGATAGAGCACTAATCTCCAGCATGTATAAAGAACTCAAAAAACTTAATACTAAAAAAACAAATAACCCAATCAATAAATGGGCTAAGGAACTGAACAGACATTGCACAGAAGAAGAAATACAATTGATCAACAAACATATGAAAAAATGTTTAACATCTCTAGCAATTAGAGAAATGCAAATCAAAACTAAGATTTCATCTGACTCCAGTCAGAATAGCAATTATCAAGAATACAAGCAACAGTAAGTGTTGGTGAGGATGTGGGAGAAAAGGGACACTCTTAGATTGCTGGTGGGACTGAAAATTGGTGCAACCACTCTGGAAAGGAGTATGGAGATTCCTTAGAAAACTTGGAATGAAACCACTATTTGACCCAGCTATCCTACTCCTTGGTTTGTACCCAAAGGACTTAAAGTCAGCATACTATAGTAATGCAGCTACATCAATGATTATAGCAACTCAATTCACAATAGATAAACCAATTAAATGCTCTTTAACAGATGACTGGATAAAGAAAATTGTGGTACATATGCATAACTGAATATTACTCACCCTTAAAGAAGATGAAATTATGGCATTTACAGGCAAATGGATTGAGCTGGAGAATATCATTCTAAGTAAAATAAGCCAAATGCCCAAACCCAAAGCCTAAATGTTTTATCTGGTAAGTGAATGCTACTCCATAATGGGCAGGGGTGGGGAATAATAAAGGAACTTTGGATTGTACAAAGGGGAGTGAGGGGAAGGGATGGAGTATGGGGATGGGAAGGATGGTGGAATGAGATGGACATTATTACCCGATATACATGTATGTTTACACCATTGGTGTGACTCTACACAATGTTCAGCCAGAGGAAGGAGAAGTTATGCTCCATTTGTATACAATGTGTTACAATGCATTCTACTGTCATGTATAACTAATTAGAACAAATTAAAAAATAAAAAAATAGGGCTGGGGATGTGGCTCAAGTGGTAGCGCACTCGCCTGGCATGCGTGCGGCCCGGGTTCGATTCTCAGCACCACATACAAACAAAGATGTTGTGTCTGCCGATAACTAAAAAATAAATATCAAAAGTTCTTACTCTGGCATCAGGGTTATCATCAAATTGTGTTCTGATAAATGTATCAAAAGAATCCCAATGATTTTCATTTAGGTTTCCACCCAAAGACCATAAGTAACAGAATACAAATGTCTGGCATAGCACAGTGTTCAATTTCACTTGTTCCTAAAAAATAAAGAAAATAGTTTTAATATTTCATAAATAAACATAAGAAAAATCTTAAGTTGTACCACATATGTTTAATGGCTCACAAAATGGAATTTTCTTATCTACATAATTAAATATTGAAGAGACAATGAATGAAAAGGCATATGTAGGAAGAACAGCTCAAAGTTGTCTTTTAGCTGCCTATTATAACTTTTCTAAATGCATGCATAAAGTTATTTAAGCAGATTGAGACTATGTTGTACACTGCATGTGAATTGAAAATTGAGTAGAGGACTAAACTATAGGACCTCTAACATTTCTTCTAACTTTGAGCTTCTTTGAAACTAATAATAGTCATTACTTCTCTGAAAAATTAACTTGAAAATCAATGACCTATATTTCAGAAAATTTAGAGTTAATTATTTGCAAAGAATCTATACAATATTTCATTTTCTTAGCTTCACAACAGTAAGAAAACCCTTCATACCATTGTCAAGTTAATTCCATCTTTTCCCAATATCAAAGACTCTAATAAGCAACAGAGGGTAGTAACTTTGCTGATGTCCACTTGTGGGATTGCTTGGGTGCACTTTTTGTTGATAAAATGTAAACCTTCATCAACATAACGTTGGAAAAGGTTCAATATATATTCTTGGGCTTCCTCATTCAGCTAAAAATGAAACAAATAAATAAAAGTTTAACAAAATCAGATGAAACATATCATTATGTTTAGAAAGGAGTTGGCTAAAATCCATATATTCAATGCATTCAGTAACCTTTAGACCCGAGGATATAAGCATCATAAAGTATGAAACAAATTTTAAGGGAACCTTATATGGTTAGGAAGGAACACAGGAAAGAATTACTGGAGAGTTGAAAACATTCTACTTCTTGGTTTGATAATGGGTACAGAGGTGTTCATTTTATAATTATTTCTTAAACTGCCAATACATATTTCATGCACTCTTCTTTACTGACAACCTTTTATAATTAAAAACAATTAAAAAAGAAGAAACACAGAAGATATCATTTAAGTATCTCCCTGTCAGGCAAAAAGGAATAATTTCCAAAGATTTAAAAATGAATTCAGCCCCCTTAACAGTCTTATTCAACTAGAAGCCCTAGCTAATGCAATAGAGCAATAAAAGGAAATAAAAGTCATACAGATTGGAAAGAAAGAAGTAAAACACTTTGTTCACAGATGTCATGATTGTCTATATATAAAATCTACCCCCAAATAACAAAACAAAACTGGAACCAATAATGATAGTAAGTTTGCCCGATATAGGTTAATATAAAGAAGTCAAGTATAAATGAAAAATATGTGGAATTTGAAATAAAAAATATAACATGATTATATATTAGCATTAAAAATGAAATAACTTTAAATCCAATAAAACATGTACTAGATCTACATGAGAAAAACTACAGTGCTCTGATAAAAGAAGCCAAATAGACCTAAATAAATGAACAGATAAACCATGTTCATATCTAGGAAGATTAGTGTTAAGATGTCAGTTTCTCTAAATTTCACCTATAAATTCAACAATCAAATTCCTAGCAAATTTCTTTATAGATACTGAAAAACTGATTCTAAAGTTTATACAAAAAGGCAAACCCCCCAAATCACCAAAACAACCCTGAAGAACAAAGCTGAAGTTCTGACAAAACCCAACTTCAAGATTTAGTATAAAGCTATAATAACAAGACGTGGAAAAAGGATTAAAAAATAGATCAATGGAACAGAATAGAGCTCAGAAAGATGCCTGTACAAATATGGTCAACTTATTTTTGACAAAGAGCAAAGGCCATTGCAATGGAGAAAGATAGTTCCCTCTAGTCCATCTCCTCATTTATCACCATCCCCCCTTATCTCTTTCTCTTTCCTTTCTCTTCTTTCTCTTGCTCTAATTCATCTTTGGAGTGGGAGAGGCAGAGAAGAAGATTGTTCCCTTGGAGAAGTAATGGGATAGTGAGAATTATTATAAATGTTAAAATGTTGTTAAGGTAAAGAAAAAATCCTATTTTAGAATGCAGGAAATTCAGAGGCTAGCATGGAACTGAGTTGTTTTGGATAATAATGTATAGGATTTCCTTCATTTGGAGTGGAACTATAAATCTGAGGTCAGAATGTGTCATGGGTCTTGCACCTATGACAAGGGTGGAAACTTTTCTTTCCTTTCTGGCTCTCAGAGGTGTTGGGGGTTCCTAAAATATAAAATCCAGTTAGTGTTTGTATTTAACAGTTCTTTTTATTCATAGTGATTTCCTCTTTTTACCCTTGTGCCTTCTGCAAAGCCTTTCCATGGTTCAGTCTTATTCTATCTGTATTTTTAGGGACTCAGGAAGTGGCTTGTGTTTCTACTGTCAGAAGGCAGGAAGAGCAGACTGGAAGCAGAGTGACTCTGCAGGCTGGCAGGCTGAGGTAACAAGTAATGAGGAAAGACTTGGGGAGTATATAAACATTCCTGGAAGACCCAGGAATTCTTAGGGAGAAGGACAAAATAAAATTTCCTCAACTGAGAACAATGCTGCTATAACCTACTGCTATTTGTACACTCTGGGGAAGTGTGAGCCCCAACAGATGAAGATACTGGGAAACATCTGGTTGCACATTTGATTGCACTTACCTTTTTAGAAACCCGCTTCATCCATGTTTTAACATAAGGCATCCATTTTAGTTCTTCGGGATCCACAAACACCATTCCACATCGACTGACTGTTGCAGGAGAGGCAACCTTTAGATCTTGCACCTAAAATTGAAAAAAGTTGAACAGGAAATAGCTAATTATACTTTCTTATTCATCCAATTTCAGTGGTAGTGATTCAGACCTTTTAAAGTTTAACACCAAAAGGCTTCATGTGGAGGACAGTGGGAGGGCAATAAGTAATACGAAATGGAGAAGCAAATGTAAGTGAGGCATAGGGTAAAAAAAATGAGTGTAGGAGGAAATTGTCAAATCCTTATGGGCAAGAGCTGGGTGTAGTGGCACACACCTGTAATCCCAGCAATTCAGGAGGCTGAGGCAGGAGGATTACAAGTTCAAAACCAGTTTGGGCAATTTAGTGAGGTCCTGTCTCAAAGAAGGAAAAAAAAAAGAGCTGGTGGTGTAGCTCAGTAGTAAAGCATCCCTGGGTTCAATCCCCAGTATAGGAAAAAAATATCAGAAGGAATAGGCATTTATTTATTTTTCTTTTCTTCTCTTTACTTTTCTCATTCTTGTGTCCCAATAGCTAGCCAAATTCATAGTACACAGTGGACATTTAATCAGTAATTAATGAATGACTAGACCTTGAGTGGTCTCTTCCATATTTTGTAGCAGTATTTGGTTCCACATCCTTTCTCTAATTTCTTGCCAAACATTCATACCACAGTAGGATAATTTATTCATATAAAATAATATTGTTTAATGAGGAAAAATTTCAAAGAAACCAAGTGCTAGGAAAACCAGAATTAATTCTATTTCCCATTTATAGAGACAGGAACATTTAAGAAGCTTTTTCAGGATTGGCAACTATTTCAAAAGGATAATTTAATAGGTACTTATTAAGTAAACAAAATAGCACAGATGGTAAATTATACATCAGTAAAAAAATTAATGATGGCATGCCAATTTTAAGGAATGATTTCATTCCACAGTAAGTCATACATTTACCTCAAAGAGCATGTGGATCTGAGGTGTGAGTTTAATCCTTTCACTGTTAGCCAGGCAAAGCATCTTGTTATCATCCAATACTGTATTTAAGTTTTCAATCCAAAGAGCATCCACTGGTCCATCACTGATGATCCATTTATGGTCTTCTGAAGTATCATTCACAGCTGCTCGGACACTTAGTGCCATCAAACCATCTTTCCATTCTAAGGTTATGTTATTAACTTCACCATATAATTCACCCATCATGATTGATTTAGGATTAAGAACATACGTTTTAACTGCTTGATAAAAAGGATTGCCTAAATCAAGTTTTCGTAAATTCCCTAAAGTTTCTGCTAGTATTTGGTAAACTGTGGTCTTGCCACCTCCTGTTGGCCCAACTAACATAACACCATGCCTCACAAGCATAGTTTCATAGAACTGTATCACTTTTTCAACCATACAGATTTCAGGCTGAAGGTTTTTTCCATTCATGACATCCACAATTGTTGACTGCAAAATACCATAGTCATGTTCTGGAATTTGGACTCCAGGAAAAAGATCGGATATGATTCCACTGAGAAAACAAAAATAAAATTTATTAGGAAGCAGTGGTAATTGATACTTTCTCATATTTCTACAATTACTTGATTCTTCTGAATATGCACAATATTAGTTTGTCCTATATGCTGTAACAGAAGCAATCATTTTTCTCTGATATCTCGTATAATTTTGTTTCCTGTACAGTAGACCAATGTTCTTAATATAATAGGAACTCTCTGAGGATATGCAATATGTCTTATGTTTCTGTATTGCTAATAGTATGTGGTATGGTACCGAACACATAGAAGGTGATAAATTTATAAATTTATTTTAAAAATTATATTTGTGTCTCAACTTTTTCCAAATGTATTTACCTACACTTATAACTATATATAGATATTCAGAAAAGTAGATGAGAATTTAAGTAGACAATGAATACGGGGTAAAAAAGGGAGAAAGGGAAAAGTTGGCTGTTTCTTTGAGGAACATTTTTAAGGGAATGTTTGTATGGGAGAAAAGAAATTAAATCTCTACCTTATATTTTATACACAAATACACTTGATATACAGTAAAGACCTTACATAAAGTGACAAAAGTATAAGGTGAAAGTGTGGAAAAAATGAATTTTGCTATATTGTGGTAAGGAGATCTAAGAAACACAGGAAGTCTACAACTGAAAAAAAATGTTGATAGAGTGAAAACATAAAACCAAACAGACAAAAAATATATTTATATGAGATTAAAGGCTTTATACATAAACTTAAAGAATGAATCAGAGACTTGTATTTTTCCAATGTTTATGTCAGATCAAGGTTATGAGTTCTTACAAGAAAAGAGCACAATAAAAACATGCTTTAAGGATATTAAATGTATAAGGTTGTGGACGTGAAGGAAGATGGCAGAAGTGAGCTAGGCAGTGAGTCCTGATCTTATCACAACACAGAAAGGAGGCAGTAAAGGAAAAGCAGAATTGAGAGGTAGGTGGCAAAATAAATCCTCTAAGTATCATCATTACAAAGTTTGAGACCTGAAGGGACTGGAAGATAGGTTACCAGAGTAGATAAAAAACTCAGAACTTGACCCGAAACTGAAGGGCACCAGAGAGAGAAAGGGTGGGGAGCGGACATTCTTTTAAGCTCACTCACTTAAAAACTGTTGAAAAGACCAAATTTAAACTGCAATGGTAATATAGAAGGCTTCTTAAACAGTACAAATAGCTTAAAACCAAATTGTGTAAAGAGCTGGGAATCTGCAACCAGCTAAGTTCTTAAATCAGCATGGTGACTTCCCATGCCCAGACAGCTGCAAATTAAAGCAGAGGGAAGCCCCCTGCAGTGGGACCTCTTATAAATCCATCCAGAAAGAACTTCTATAAGGACCACTACTAGCCATAAATTGCAGAAACCCCCACCCTCTTTCCCTCCCTACATAGCATTCACTCCGTTGCTTGACTAAGACAACAATGAAGCATCTTTGGCCTCCCAAAAAGGAAAATAGATTCACCAGGCCTCAGTCACTGACAACGTGGGGAGGCACTGTGGATACCTGTAGGACCTTGCATCAGATTTAGAAAACATAGAGAATCAATTCCGGCCATTCACAGCCCAGGGCAGCAGAAATGAGAATCCAAGTGAACCACTGGAAACCCTTCAGACAGTACCTCAGAGAGCAACATCAGCCAGGGTAATACCTCTGTACCACAGATCATTCACAGAAAATCCACAACCAGAGTTTCTATGTTCACAGACAGCCACCAGGATCTTCACTTCTGCAAAAAGGATCCAGTAGAGGAGAATAGGTACCCACAACACACACAGGGGCACTTCAGAAGCTGAATTATAAACTATTACACACAACAGAATCAGCCAATCCACAACAGTACACTCTCTGAGCAGTGAGGTGCAGGCCCCTGAGCTGACAAACCAGAAGCTGCTGGTAGGAGGTTTATAGCAACTAGGGAACTGGCTCTTGTGCCCCTGCAACTCAGAAGAGATCCATAGTTAAAGACTGATGGACATCTGCTAAATGTCCAAACCAGATTCAACAAGAATTTTCTTCACCTTGACATGGTATGCTATAAAGTACTCTAATATCAATTTTGATTATATAAATAACTTAACTCGAATGATAATTGTTAACCCAATAGCCAACATTGTACCCTCAACCCATTTGAATATATTCCATCTAATGGTTTAAAACATCAATTGGAATCAATCTACCTATATTTGTGTTCCTAGTTCTAGTTTATACCTGCTTCTCTTACCCACTATACTTGTACTATCTGGTACTACCTCAAATAACATCCATTCATCTATTTCTGCTTTCAACCTTCATGTAAATTACCCTTTTATTCATTCTCATTCTCTCTCTCTCTCTCTCTCTCTCTCTCTCTCTCTCTCTCTCACCCCCTAATCTTTCATGCTCTCTCCTTTTAGTTCATACTTAAGGTTATAATAAGTTTACCAAATTTAACAACTAATATTTTAACCTGTTCCAGAATTTTATTATAGGTTTATGCCTGAAATTGAGGACCATAGAGAACAATTGCAGCAAGTTTTTGATCTTATAAGGTTGAGTAGAATGAGGCATGGCTCAGAAGTCATTATAGTAAATAGGGCTCAGTGGCATCTCTTAAAGTGGGGAGTAGAAGAGGTCCCACATTGAATTAAAAAAATTAATTCACAAAATAGTCCTTCACTTAAAAGAAGAAGCCAGAACTATACTGATAGAAGAGTAGACATACAAACAACATAAAAAAGCAAGGGACCAAACCATCCCAAACAACCCAGAATGCCTCAACAACAGACTGTTGACACCACAGCAGAGGAAATGTCAGAGAAGGAATTGAGAAAGTTCAGAGTTAAACTGTTCTATGAGATAAAAGATGACATAAGCAGTGAAATCAGAAAATACCAAGAAGTGAAAGATCACTTCAATAAAGAGATAGAGATTCTGAAACAGAACCAAACAGAAAATCTTTTTTTTTTAAATATTTATTGTTGGTTGTTCAAAACATTACATAGTTCTTGACATATCATATTTCACACTTTGATTCAAGTGGGTTATGAACTCCCATTTTTACCCCATATACAGATTGCAGAATGACATCAGTTACACATCCATTGATTTACATATTGCCATACAAGTGTCTGTTGTATTCTGCTGCCTTTCCTATCCTCTACTATCCCCCCTCTCCTCCCCTCCCCTCCCCTCCCCTCCCATCTTCTCTCTCTACCCTGTCTACTGTCATTCATTTCTCCCCCTTGTATTGTTTTCCCTTTCCCCTCACTTCCTCTTGTATGTAATTTTGTATAACCCTGAGGGTCTCCTTCCATTTCCATGCAATTTCCTTCTCTCTCCTTTTCCCTCCCACCTCTCATCCCTATTTAATGTTAATTTTCTTCTCATGCTCTTCGTCCCTACTCTGTTCTTAGTTACTCTCTTTATATCAAAGAAGACATTTGGCATTTGTTTTTTAGGGATTGGCTAGCTTCACTTAGCATAATCTGCTCTAATGCCATCCATTTCCCTGCAAAATCTATGATTTTGTCATTTTTTAATGCAGAGTAATACTCCATTGTGTATAAATGCCACATTTTTTTTATCCATTCTTCTATTGAAGGGCATCTAGGTTGGTTCCACAGTCTTGCTATTGTGAATTGTGTTGCTATGAGCATCGATGTAGCAGTGTCCCTGTAGCATGCTCTTTTTAGGTCTTTAGGAAATAGACCGAGAAGGGGAATAGCTGGGTCAAATGGTGGTTCCATTCCCAGCTTTCCAAGAAATCTCCATACTGCTTTCCAAATTGGCTGCACCAATCTGCAGTCCCACCAGCAATGTACAAGTGTACCCTTTTCCCCACATCCTCGCCAGCACTTGTTGTTGTTTGACTTCCTAATGGCTGCCAATCTTACTGGAGTGAGATGGTATCTTAGGGGGGTTTTGATTTGCATTTCTCTGACAGCTAGAGATGTTGAGCATTTTTTCATGTACTTGTTGATTGACTGTATGTCCTCCTCTGAGAAGTGTCTGTTCAGGTCCTTGGCCCATTTGTTGATTGGGTTATTTGTTATCTTATTGTCTAATTTTTTGAGTTCTTTGTATACTCTGGATATTAGGGCTCTATCTGAAGTGTGAGGAATAAGATTTGTTCCCAGGGTGTAGGCTCCCTATTTACCTCTCTTATTGTTTCTTTTGCTGAGAAAAAACTTTTTAGTTTGAGTAAGTCCCATTTGTTGATTCTAGTTATTAACTCTTGTGCTATGGGTGTCCTATTGAGGAATTTGGAGCCCGACCCCACCGACTGTAGATCGTAGCCAACTTTTTCTTCTATCAGACAGCGTGTCTCTGATTTGATATCAAGCTCCTTGATCCATTTTGAGTTAACTTTTGTGCATGGTGAGAGAAAGGGATTCAGTTTCATTTTGTTGCATATGGATTTCCAGTTTTCCCAGCACCATTTGTTGAAGATGCTATCCTTCCTCTATTGAATGCTTTTAGCCACTTTATCAAATATAAGATAGTTGTAGTTTTGTGGATTGGTTTCTGTGTCCTCTATTCTGTACCATTGGTCCACCCGCCTGTTTTGGTACCAGTACCATGCTGTTTTTGTTACTATTGCTCTGTAGTATAGTTTGAAGTCTGATATGGCTATACCGCCTGATTCACAATTCCTGCTTAGCATTGTTTTTGCTCTTCTGGGTCTTTTATTTTTCCATATGAATTTCATGATTGCTTTCTCTATTTTTACAAGAAATGCTGTTGGGATTTTGATTGGCATTGCATTAAACCTATAGAGAACTTTTGGTAATATCGCCATTTTTTTTTAATTTATTTTTTTTTTAATTTTTTATTGTGGGTTGTTCAAAACATTACAAATTTCTTGACATATCATATTCCACACTTTGATTCAAGTGGGTTATGAACTCCCACCTTCACCCCATACACAGATTGCAGAATCACATCAGTTACACATCCATTGATTTACAAATTGCCATACTAGTGTCTGTTGTGCTCCGCTGCCTTTCCCATCCT